GTGCACAATCAATTGAAAAGATCCTGCAAAATTACTTAAAGTAAATAAAAAAGGCCTGTTCCAAAGCCACATCTTTGCACACTCTTGGTACACCAAAGGAAACAAACAAACAAAAAACAACCAAGCACCTCCTGCCACTTCCCTGTTACAGGGCTCAGACTGGTATCAGGCTTCTTGTTGGTATTGTTGCTTGCTGGGACACTACAGAGTGTGTCCTAAAAAATTGTTCCATGGTTAGGGCTTTTAACCTGTAATTCTATAGGTAGCCAAATTATCAACTAAGTATGTGGATAAAATAGAGATTTAAAAATAATTTATTTTTATTTGAAAAGCAGATTTACAGGGAGGAGAGACTGATCTTCTATCCTCTGGATTCATTCTCGAAGTGGCCACAACGTCCAGAGCTGAGATGTTGGAAGCCCTCATATGGGTGCAGGAGCCCAAAGCTTGAGCCACCCTCTGCTGCTTTCCCAGGCCATAGGGAGATAGCTGGAGTGGAAGTGGAATAGCCAGGACGTGAACCGGGGCTTACATGAAACGCTGATACCACAGCCTACTACGCTGTGAGATGTTTTTTTAAAGGGGCAGGCATTGGCATAGCAGTTAAGATGCTGATTGGGAAACCCAAATCCCATATAATAATGCCTACAGACCAGCTCTCAATTCCAGTTTCCTGTGTGTATCCTGGGAAACAGCAGTTGATGGGGGAACTGACTGGAGCCCTGCCTCAGTTCCTAGACCTGGATGGAGTTCCCAGCTTCAGCTGTTGCTGGTCAGTGGACCAGCAGCGGGGAGGTTTCTGTCTCTCTTCTCTTCCTTTCCGCATTGCAAATGCATTAAATAATTCCTTAAAAATTCTTTTAAAAATGAAAAGATTTTGGGCCCGGTGCGGTAGCTGAATGGCTAAAGTCCTCACTTTACAAGCGCACCGGGATCCCATTTGGACACGTCCAATCCTAATCCCGGATGCCCCACTTCCCATACAGCTCCCTGCTTGTGGCCTGAGAAAGCAGTCGAGGATGGGCCAAAGCCTTGGGATCCTAAACCCACGTGGGAGACCTGTAAGAACTCCTGGCTCCTGGCTTCGAATCAGCTGAGCTCAGCCATTGCAGTCAGTTGGGGAGTGAATCAACGGTCAAAGATCTTTCTCTGTCTCTCTTCCTCTGTATATCTGACTTTCTGATAAAAAATAAAATCTTAAAAAAATTAATATTTTAAGTTGTCTTCCATTCAGTCTTTAAGGAAAAAATTACTTGAGAGTAAATCGCAGATCTGGAACAGAATCCAAGCAAAGGTAATCCCCACACAGGGCTACAGTTAAATGAAAATTGGGGCGGGGCCAGGCCTGGCACATGGCATATCAGGCTAATCCTAATCCTGCAGCAACTCATCCCATAGTTTATATCCTATTGCTCCACTTCCCATCCAGCTTCCTGCTTGTGCCCTAGGAAAGCAAAAGAGCATGGCTCAAGTCCTTGGAACCGTGCACCCACATGGGAGACCCGAAGCAAGCTCCTGGCTCCTGTCTTCCAACATCCCAGTTCTGGCTGTTGTGGCCATTTAGGGGCATGAACCAGTGGATGGAAGATGTCTGTCTCCCTCTGTTTATCTCTCCCTTTATAAATTCATACACGGAATGAAGGGGACATGATCAACAGCATTAGAGCTATGGGAGGAAGGAAGCTTTTTCTGTGTGGGCAGAAATTGGAGGAGTGGGTGGAAATTACAGAGTGACAGTATTATAAAGAGCCTCCCAGCTACCATGCCTGTGTGTGCATCTCGTTGTGGTCATTCACACAGAATTTGATTTCTAGGAGACGAATTCTTATGTTAGTCCTCAGTTATTAATATTTGTATTCTTTGTAACCCATAAGGGTACAGTTACTTCGACACTTTAAGGGAAAAAAAAGATTTGTTGGAAAAGCAGTTACAGAGAGAGGGAGGGGACATCTGCTGGTGTACTCCACAGATGGCTGCAGTGGCCGAGGGTGAGCCAGCTTAAACCCAGGAGCCAATGGCTTAATCCAAGTCTCCCACATGGGTCCAGGGGCCAAAAACCTTGGTAGGGAGCCAGTACTCTCATTGGTTCCCACATAGGATTTTGGCATCATGGGCAACAGCTTACCACTGTACCAAAATTCAGTACTTTTTTAGTAGTTGTGTTTTTCGTGATCTTCAGGGCTTTGGGATAAATAAGAACTGAGTTAAGACTAAGGACTGCATTCCAATGATCTGTTTAGTTCAACAGATACGTTGTGAGCCTCTCTAATACAGACTGCTCCTTCTCTGGAAACAAGGAGACAAGCAGCCATGACTCCTCACCTCAGGACCCCATCATCTGCGAGGGAGACAGGGGAAAGCCCACACACAAAGTGGTGTTGGTGTTAGCTCACTGGCACCAAGTTGTCACCAGCATGGTGTATCATCTTGCACAAGTACCTCTTCTGGGCCATGGTTCATAACCCCTCATCTACCCCAGAACCAAAGGGAATGGCGTTTGGTCTGGTGGCTGAGATGTCCATTAAGACTCACGTGTACTAAGTACACTGCTGGACTCCAGCTTCCCGCTGGTGGGCATGCTCTGGGGGAGCCCTGTGATGGCTCACGTGGCTAAGTCCTTGCCACTTCATATGGGAGCCTTGAATTGCATTCAGACTCCCAGATTCAGCCCCAGCTATTGGCAGTTGAGGGTGTATATGGAGGAGTGAGGAAGTGGAACTCTGTTACTCTACTTCTGAAATTATATTTTAAAAAAAGTTTGTGAAATAACCAGGGCTAGAATTCCAGCTGCTCCAAAATTCCAGGACTCTAATTGCTGTATGTAGAACATTATTTTTGAATTCCACTTTCCACAAACTTTTAAAAATTGTTCTCATATGATGATAATTTTTCGCTCATCAAAATATCTTTGGGAGGCTTGGCGCAGTAGCCTAGTGGCTAAAGTCCTTGCCTTGCACGTGCCGGGATCCCATATGTGTGCCGGATCCTGTCCCATCAGCCCCCCTTCCCATTCAGCTCACTGCTGCTGGCCTGGGAGGGCAGTCGAGGATGACCCAAAGCTTTGGGACCCTGCACCCACATGGGAGACCCAGAGGAGGCTCTGGTTTCTGGCTTCAGATCAGCTCAGCTCCAACTATTGTGGCCACTTGGGGAGTAAACCAATGGGCAGAAGATCTTTCTCTGCCTCTTCTCTCTGTGTATCTGACTTTCCAATAAAAATAAATAAATCTAAATGTATATGTGTAATGTTTTGAGAGAACAGTCCAGACTTAGGAAAGTCATAACGTGAGAATGTTTGATGTTTGCTAATGAGTTTCCTTGAACAGCTTGTTTCATCAGTGTCTGCTCGATGCCTTTTTATCATATTCCTTTGAAAGGCTAGGCACATCATAAAGGTTTGCATTAATTTGTCATACTCAATTTGTGACAATATTAATATTGCAGAAAGCATTATTTTAAATGTATTATAGATCACTGCTGTGATTTAATTTCCGTATTTATTTTGAAAAACAGCTTCCTCAAATAGGGCTTTAGATTCATATTGGTACCCTTAGATCTACATTTAGGGTAGATGAGAAAAGCTTAATAAAATTTTATTTTATAAGGAATTTTAGTGAACTTACATTCTGGAAGAATTAGATTTGTGATTTTTTTTCTGACAAATGAAAAGATATTCCAAGAAAAATATTAATTAGAGCTGAATTGAATTACCACTGCTCATTTAATTGGTATAAGGTGCTTCAGCATATTTTTAGAGCCTTTAAAAAGTTAAAATCATGGGCCTAGCATGGTAGCCTAGTTCCTGAAGTCCTTGCTTTACACTCCCAGGATCCTATATGGGCGCCAGTTCTAATCCTGGCAACCCCGCTTTCACCCAGCGCCATGCGTGTGGCCTGAGAAAGCAGTAGGGGACAGTCCAAAGCCTTGGGACCCTGCACCCACATGGGAGACCTGGAAGAAGCTCCTGGTTCCTGGCTTCAAATTGAAGCAGCTCTGGCCACTGCAGCCACCTGGGGAGTGAATCAACAGATGGAAGACCTTCTTCTCTGTCTTTCCTCCTCTTTGTGTATCTGACTTTGCAATAAAAATAAAATAAATCTTTAAAAAATAAAATAAATGACTTTGCAAAGAGCTATGCTACGTTTATTAGGAAAGAAATCTTTAGAAATTGTGTAACTTTTTCCTGTGTCACGATGAACTCCATAAAAATTTTTGGATTATATGGTTGCGTTTATTAAAACAATTTTTTATAGTTTTGTGAAGTTTCACAACCTAATTTTTCATTATTTTCCTTGGTACTTACATTGAGTTGCAGTTAGTCTGTCAGTAACTACCGATTGAATTGCACATTTGTTTTCCTGGAAACTCAGAAATGTTGGCATCAACTTTATTAGAAGTCTGTTATACAATTGCATAGTAGCAAACAGCTGAACTGTAAAGAGGTGGCGTCAGCTGCTACCCTAGCATGCAGTGTGCCCAGGTACCCACTGATCTCACTCTCATGTCTACAATAACTGCTCCTGAGCCTAGTTCCTCCTGAAGCTGCATGCCCACTCAGGTGGGCAGCCCTCCTCGCGCCAGCCTGACTTGCGACTTTCAGCGCTCACTAGCGTTATTTATGTTGCCCTCTTGTCTTTAAATACATAGGAGAGAGTGTCTTATTTTCTCTGTACTGTCCTGGCTATCCCACTTATGCGAGTCATATGTTAATGGAAAGTGAAAACGTTTGCAGTTCAAAAACAAGAAATGAATCATGTATTTAACCCGATATTCAAAAGGACATTCCAATGTATAACCTGTAAAAATTGTTAGTAAGATAGCTTGTGTATTTTTTTTGTTCTAAATCTTCGGAATTTTCTTATACAGCACATCGCGGCCTGCCCCAGCCACATAAGCTAGTTACTGTAGTAGACAGACAGCAGAGATCTAGCCTCTTGTGAGTCGTTAGTGAAGAACACCCCACGGCAAACCTTAGAATAACTATTTTTTTTTCCCAACAGGCTGCCATGGCTGCAGGAGTCTTAGCTCCAGATGAACAACCGTATTCCACACTGGCGAATCACAGTGGATATGCTATGAACATGGAAGGTAACATCTCTAAATGCATTCTTCAGAACAGAATTTTTGTTTATTCGAAAAACTGTTTATTCGAGTGTCAGAGAAAGAAGAAGAGAGAAAGCACTCTTTGATTCCCTGGTTCACTTCCCAGATGCTGCCACAGCCAGGTCTGGACCAGGTCCATCCTGGAGACTGGTTTCTGCTGCTTGAGTGACACGGGCCTGCTTCCACTGCCTCTCAGGTGCATTAGAAGGAGGCTGGATTGCAGGAGGAGCAGCTGCCACTTCATGCTTAACCCACTGCAGTGCAATACAGAACTCCTTGAATGCATTTTCTGTCCCTCTAAGGAACTCGTGCTTTACATCAGTAGCTACATGAAAACACATGGAAGAAAAATCTTTGTTCATATTGGCATCTCAAGTTGCAGGTGCTACTTGCAGTCCTGTTTATTTCTGCATTCTTGTTTTGACCTGTTTTCAAAATTGTGGGCATTTGTCCTGGTAATTAAGATGCTCGCATCCCGTGACACAGTAGCTGGGTTTATGTCCTGGCCTCGGCTCCTGACCCCAGCTTCCTGCTAATGAAGACCCCCGGGGGTGGGGTGTCCCAGCAGCGATGGCTCTGGTGGTTGGGATTCTGGCAGCCACACAGGTGAGATTTCTATTTGGTTCCCAAGTTCTGGCTCTGGCTTCTGCACAGCCCTGGCCTTTGCAGTATTTGAGAAATGAACCAGCAGATGGAGCTCTCTCATTTTCTGTCTCTCCTCAAATAAACAAGATTTTTAAATTTAAAAAAGAACAACAACAGGGCCCAGCGACGTGGCCTAGCAGCTAAAGTCCTCACCTTGAGCGCGCCGGGATCCCATATGGGCACAGGTTCTAATCCCGGCCGCCCCACTTCCCATCCAGCTCCCTGCTTGTGGCCTGGGAAAGCAGTTGAGGATGGCCCAAAGCTTTGGGACCCTGCACCCTCGTGGGAGACTTGGGGGAAGAGGCTCCTGGCTCCCAGCTTCAGATCAGCGCAGCACCAGTCGTTGCGCTCACTTGGGGAGTGAATCATCGGACGGAAGATCTTCCTCTCTGTCTCTCCTCCTCTCTGTATATCTGACTTTGTAATGAAAATAAATAAATCTTTAAAAACAACAACAACAACAAACAGAAAACACCTGAATAACAACGTTTTCCTTTTCAGAAGAAATGCTGCAGAAGTGCTTGTCTCCTGCGTGATCATCTGACACTGAGATGGAGTGTGTATTTCTGCCATCGAACACCTACTTAGGAATCAGCCTTTCATTTCTTTCTCTAAATCACCGGCAAGTGTCACTTAGCACATTCAGAAGCCTTGTGCTGCTACTTTTCCTCTCGCTATTCTCCCCACAGTGTTTTGATTTTTCTGTGGCACCTGAGACAAGGAAGCATGCCGTAGCTTGAACTCTGCTGCCACACTTGTCCCGCGTTCTTTCTGTTGCAGTTCTGAGCTGAGTACCACGCAGATTCCCCCTGGGTGGTGCCGGCCTTGCTGCCACAGGCAGCGCTTGACAGTAAAAGTGTTGAATTCTTTTTCTTAGCAGTGTTCCCTACAATACTTTGTAACGTCCTGGTTCACTTTTGTCCTACTGTGTAGGGAACTTTGAAGAATTTCTTGCCCGTATGGATCACGGGCACCAGGAAGTGTGAGGGGTTAAGGGTCTGGCAGGAGGAATTGGAGCTTAGCACTGAGAGTGCTCAGTTCTGTCAGCTGTGTTCTTTTTTCATTTTATAACATCATTTCATAGGCTCTGATGTTCCCCCATGCCTTCCCCCCATGGTGGATTGTACCACCTTATTGCAGTATTACAGTTCAAATCCAGTCTTGTTTCTTTCAGTGCAAGCATGTGCCATGCATAGAGTCCAGCATCTTATTGTCCAGATCAATTCAACAGTTTCTTGGGGAGACCATCTCTGGTCTAAAGGCAGAGCTGGCAGAATATCGTTCCGACCAATTAAAAGCCATAAGATAACATGAACAACAGTTTACATTATGGAGTTAACTGGCATGATATTGAGTGACTGATATGTTAGAAAATGCAAGTTCTTAACCACATCCTGTGACTACTTCATTAACATTTTAATTTTAGTTTGTATACAACTGGCTTCTATCTACCTGAAAATGGCTATAGGGTACTATTCAGCTATCACATGTCTATTTTCATTTTAGTATTTACCAGTTTATTGTGTTGAAATATACTTTTTACTGAACTTGGCAGATTTTAGGATAGTCTAAACTGGCTTATAACTCAAAGGCTTATGTCAACAATTGAGGTGCAGATCAGTTTTAGGAAGGATGTGCAGAGAAATCCTCCATACTCTAGTTAGGAGTTATTAATTTTCGTGTCCTACCTAGTAAGGTATGTGTGAGTCCCCACTGATCGTTTCCTGTCTAGTTCTAAGCTTTCCTTGTTGTTCTCTATTCTAATTTTTTGTTCTTGTTTGTTTTGTTTTGGGGGGGGCGCCCGGGATGACCCTGATGGTCATTGCAAGAGAGGGTGGGGATCCAGAGTTGGAAATAAGTAAGGACCAGAGAAAGTTCCTCTTCCTGGTCTCGGAGGGAGTTTATTGTTCTTCTGTTTTTGCAGACTCCTGGCTGTTGTTCCGGTGACATTGGGCCCTGTGAGGAGGGATTTGGACTTCTTCCATCCCATGTGGGAGATTCAAATGGGAGTGGATGACCTTGGAGTACTCGGCCTCCAAAGGCACTCCAATTCCCTGTGGTCTCTTTGGCAGTTGGGATGTAGTCCTTGGTGAGGATCTGGGAGTCTCCAGGGTTGGAATACAAGCCTCCTCCTGTCCTCCTGCTCCACTCTGGGGTCCCCGCCCCTACCCTATGCATATGACCTCCTGTTAAGAGGTTGTCAGGATCACTCCTGTTACCCCCCCATGTCTTTATGGTTTTACCATTGTCTAATGCTATTCGAGGCTGTTGTCTATAAGTTACCTGTTATGTTCTTGATAGGTTATGCTTTACATCTGCCTCACACATTCTAGGGAGATGGAAGATTTCTCTGCTCTCCCGCCCCGTTACCGAGAAGCAAAATTGTATTAGGTTTTACAGTTCTTTGATGTAGATCATGAGCAGTCTGCCTCACATTGATTGCTGATTCATTGATTACATCACAATATGTTGTTGCATGAGATATAGGTTGTTAGAGGTTGAAGTAATACTACATTTCACAGGTACCATTTTTCAGATTGACAGCATTTCAACTTAAATTAAGGCAAACATGTGGTGTTCTGACTGGGCTCTGACCTCCCCAGCAGAGGGAGCCCTCTGTCTTCAGCAATTCACAATTCTCCATCTGTCTGCTGTGTGTGACTCTAGAATGTAAACACTACTGACAACTATCGTTTGTGGACACTTGTGCGTGCCAGCTGTAGTCTCTTGGTCTTAGAGAGAAGTGCTTCTAGAACAAATCCAATAATGGTGTCTGCTTGCTGCTTCCCTTGTAGGATCAGGTTAATTTTTCCCCTATGGAACACTCCAGTCAACAAGATAACAATCAGACAAATATTTTCCTTCTTCTACCTCCAGTACTGAAGACCTCGCCCATCTAAACTGTGCAGTGTCCCCTGGTTCCAGAGGTTTCCTATACCTTTTCAAATGCTCTCAGGAAGGGTGTACCACTTCACTTCTGAGCCCCGTAGATAAGCTGATGTTTTTACCTTTTCAAACACTATTAATTAAAACTTTTATTGTGGAATAACTACAGCTAATTTTAAAATAGGAAAATCTGGAAAAATAAAATTTATCTTGTATCTAATTTTCTTAAAATACATTTCATCGGGCCCAGCGGCGTGGCCTAGCTGCTAAAGTCCTCACCTTAAATGCACACCTGGGATCCCATATGGGTGCTGGTTCTAATCCTGGTCGCTCCACTTCCCATCCAGCTCCCTACTTGTGGCCTGGGAAAGCAGTCGAGGAAGGCCCAAGGCTTTGGGACACTACACTCGCGTGGGAGACCTGGAAAAGGTTCCTGGTTCCCGGCTTTGGATTGGCACAGCACCGGCCGTTGCAGTCCCTTGGGGAGTGAATCATCAGACAGAAGATCTTCTTCTCTGTCTCTCCTCCTCTCTGTATATCTAACTTTGTAATGAAAATAAAGAAATCTTTTTTAAAAATACATTTCATCTATAAAGATAGTCATGCTTTAGATTTGAGCATAGAAAATATTTTTAAATGTTGACTGATGGGGAAATTTAGTTTAAAGTACATAAATAAAATGTTTTTAAAGGAAAATAGGAAATTCATCAAGAACTAGTTGTAGAGACACAGCTGGATTTAAATCTTCGTTCTGGTTTCAAAAAGCACTTATAATGGGAAATTTCAAACATTACTGAAGCATAAAGATTTCATGTATATGTCATTCTACAGGAACACCCCATTGATCTGCTGTAATGTCTTCAGTAATGGGGTTCCTCACTCACTCCCCCACATTCACATTTTAAAGCAAATTCAAGGTTTTGGTTTGTTTTTTTAAGTGGTTGCATCATCATTATCATCATTTTATTATTAATTATTTTTAATATCTGAACAGTGTTCAAACTGCTGATTGTCTCATAGATGTGTACATGTGTGTTTATGGTATTTTTGCGTCAGAAGGTTCCTGGAGTGGGTGGCACTTTAGCATAGCTGCCTGGGCTGCCATCTGCAGTGCTGGACATCTCATCCTGCACCTGGCTGCTCTGCTTCGGATCCAGCTGCCCTTTAGTGAACCTGAGAAGGCGGCAGAGGGTGACCCATGTCTGTGGGCTCCTGAAGCCCTGGGGGGGGGGGGCCCTGGGTGAAGCTCCTAGCTTCATCTTGGCCTAACCTCAGCCATTGCAGCCACTGGGGAATGAATCAGAGAATGAAAGACACCTCCCCTCTCAATCCCACTTTCTCTCTGAAGCTTTGTTTTTCGAACATCTTTATGTATGAAGTGGATGCAGAAGAGGCCTGGACACCATACGTAGTTGCCGTACAGCTTACATTGCTTTCAAGCATGAATTGCCCTT